TTCCGTAGAGAGTGTCCCTTTCAGAACATCCAGAATGGAGAGGCTCCAGCCATCTCTGGATATCGGAGGAGCCAAAACAGGGTTCACTTCCGACGGCCACATGAGTATGCCAGTAGGCAAACCACCATCGATCGAGGCTGCGGTCCAGACAGTGACCTCGAGTGATGACATTGCTGCACAAGGACCTTGTGGAAGGCCTCTTGTGAAGATACGTGTTCATGAAGTACCTATGACAGCTTTCATAGACACAGGGTCTGAGGTCACTCTCTTAAAGATGGAAAGAACTAATTTGATAACCCCAAAGAGAATCTATCACCAAGCTCGTGGACTTCGAGGAGTGTCAGGTCGACTCTTTGAAGCCACCTCTGAGTGGGATCATGCTGACAGCAGCAGATGATGAGGTTAAGGCTGGACCAAATTTAAGCCATTTACCTGATAAACAGCATCAGGATATTCTTTCTCTGCTAGCTAATTATCCAAGGTTATTCAGTGGTGACAAATTCACGATTGGTACTGTACCAGGGATCCAGCATCACATCCCTACTCATGGAACTAAGCCTCTTTGCACACGGCAATGGCGTTTACCTGAGGTAGTCAAGCAGCAGATCAGACAGGAGTGTGATGCCATGCTTGAGGCAGGTGTCATCGAGCCCAGCACATCACCTTGGCTCTCTCCTGTTGTCCTTGTCAAGAAGGACGGCACAGTACGATTCTGTGTTGACTATAGACAACTTAACTCGGTAACGATAGCAGATACCTATCCCCTACCAAGGATAGACGAGTTAGTTGACGAACTGAGGGACACTGCAGTTTTCTCCTTACTTGACAGTCGTAGTGCCTACTGGAGCATCCCAGTGGCACCTGAGGATAGGCCTAAGACCACCTTTAGTGATGGCTACCGCCTTTTCCAATGGCGTCGTATGCCTTTTGGGCTTTCCACCGCTCCAACTACCTTTCAAAGAACGATGAACGCAGTACTTAGTCCAGTCTTAGGTAAGCATACTTTAGCATATTTGGATGACATTATCTACAGCAAGACATTTGAAGAGCACCTCCTCCATCTCAAAGAAACCTTAGACACTTGACTGTGCTGTTTTTCAAACTCAATGCTAGCAAGTGTGAGTTTGTTGTCCAGAACTTTAGATTCCTGGGTTTCCGTATCACCCCAGATGGGATTTTGCCAGATCCAGATAAAGTTTGAGCCATCTCGGAGATGCCACCTCCAAAGATTAGTGTGCGGAGATTTTTAGGAGCATCTGGATTTTTCCGCAAACATGTCCCCAATTATGCTAAGATGGCCTATCCATTAACACAGCTCATCAAGAAGGAGCAGAAATTTAAGTGGACTAAGGAATGTCAAGAGGCTTTCCAAGCACTCAAGGATGCCTTAATTAATGCACCAGTATTGCAGAAGCCCAACTTTGATCTGCCATTTGAGATCCATACTGATGCTTCCCAAGTCGCTATAGGGGGATGTCTGATGCAAAGACAAGGTCAGAACCCACCGCATGCTATAGCTTATTTCAGCCGGAAGCTGCGAGGCCCTGAAACTAGATACTCTGCCACTGATGCTGAAGCTCTCGCAGTTGTTGAGAGTATAAGAGCTTTTGATCCATATGTTTTTGGCCACAAGTTCACGGTATATACTGACCACAGACCTTTGTGCTTTGTGTTTACAAAGACAACAAAGTCTCCACGAATGTCCAGATGGGCTTATGAGCTTTCAGGATATTCCTTCAGAATATTGTACAAACCTGGTACATCCCATCATGTACCAGATATGTTGAGTCGCAACATAAGTTCCATAAGTATGTCTAATCCTGACCCCAAAACAATGCGGTCAGAGCAATTAAAAGATCCAATGTGGCATGACATTGTGGCCTTCTTGGAAGAGAAAGCTACTCGGAGGAGGAAGTCTCCACTCCCTCTAGACGAGTTTAAGCTTCAGAACGGAGTTCTTTATCATGTAAGAACATTGCCTGACAGGATTGTCAGTCAGCTTGTAGTTCCAAGGCAACTTCGCAGAAGTGCTATAACATTAGCACACTCATCACCTTTAGCTGCTCATCCTGGAGTTTACAGGACTTTTGTGAAACTAAAGGATCTGTTTTACTTTCCCAACATGCTTCGGGATGTTAAAGAGTATGTAGCCGCATGTGAAGCATGCCAGCGACGAAAGGGTAGCCCTAGAAAAGCTCCTTTGGCAATGGCACCAGAGAAAGCAAGTGCCGACCTCATTGAATTGGGGATATCTCAAGCAGGTTATAGATACTGCTTGACTATTGTAGATCATTTGACTCGCTATGTCCAGATCATTCCTCTCAAGACAAAAGGCGCAGGCTCAGTGGCTGATGCCAAGTTTAATAATTTCATTTCTTGGTTCCTCCTCGTCTCATACAAACAGACGGAGGGTCTGAATTTAACAACCATTTATTCAAAGAATGTTGCTGTTTGTTGCAAATACAGACAACTCTAACTACAGCCTATCATCCACAAGCAAACGGGATGATAGAACGGACAAATCGAGTTGTTAAAGATGCTATAGCTTCCCTTGCTAACACAGCACCGGGTATGTGGGAACAGCTGATACCTCAAGTGAGACTGGCGCTTAATAGTACAATCCACCGGAGTACAGGAGACCAACTTTTATATCTGATGACTGGCCATCATGGCCACTTTCCTCTAGGTCTCACCAATGACCTGGTTTATAACTCTGAGGCATCTAGATCTTTCCATAAGGCTCTCAAAATAGCTCGCCAGGTAGCACTTGAGACAACAAAAATAGCTAGATGGAAGAAAGATATGACAGACAGACAGCAACAGCAAAGCCTCTTGAGGAAGGGCACCTTGTACTGTACAAGAACCGTGTACAGAAATACGGACCTGATAAGCTGCTTAACCCACGGTGGGCAGGTCCAGCACGAATTAAAAAGAAAGTCGGTCCTGTAACTTTCTTGCTAAAAGATGTCTCACGCCCATTTACAGAGAGACAGTGTCATATAAATGACATTAAACCATTTCGGGTCTTGGGTGAAGTCACATACCCTGACCTTTATGATGAATATGGTCCAGATTATGTGGATCCATTATTGGATGATGAGGCTGAGCCGGGAGTGATGCTGCTTGTATCCTGCCTTGTCAGTCCTCAGTGATTATATGTAAATATGTTTATCATTCCTTTTAATTTTACATACCTGTTCTTTTATACTTTTAAGTACTTTTATGTTTAAGTTAATCTTAATCTCTGTGGTATGTGTATCTATGCCAGTCTTTGCCAGTTTAAATTCTCTATGTAACAAGCCATGCTATCCTCCCTCATGTATGCCTAGCAATCTTAATAAACACTGATGAACAATACAGTTTTCTTGCAATAATTGTCATATATTTTGAACTCTTAAAGTTATAAATGAGCCAGCGCAACTCAAGGGGTTGGGAAGGGATTCTTTCTGTTGTCAGATTGTGAGCCATGTACAGCACCCTGACCCATGCCTGTGATGCCCTGTGGTTCGAGAAGACTCGTGATGGACCATGAAGCCTTAGCAGACGACACTGAGGCTGTGCATTGAGCTGTACCATGAGCTTTTGGTTCCTAAGAAATGTGCTGAGTCGCCTTGGACACTTCCCGTCAGAGGAGGAAGATGAGGACCTGCTGGACTCTGGATGGCCCTATCA